AGAGTGATATCTTGACATTTTTATATCTATTTTACGGTGTCTCTCGCTGTACTGTACACCTGCATGCCCATATGTTCAAGTGTTTGTGTGCGTGTCGACTTTATGCCTGGGTGACGCTCTTAAAAAGCTCATCTATGCGTAATATGAAGCTGTGCGTGTGAGATATTTTATTTTCCATGCACACAAAGAGAGATGAGTGATAAGACGGCGACTGTCTGCCCGGCATGTCTGCTTTATTTGAATGTCTGTGTACAGTGTCTGTCTTTACAGCGTCTGGCTCTTAGTGTGGAAAGACGCTCCAGTCTCATGACATGACATTTACACGAATATATGTATAGTGCCAAGGAAAATTATTGCATGGATAAAATGTACTGACTGTACAGGATTATTTCCTGTATTTCTTTTTACCTCTCCTTGCCTAATAAAACTGACAGCCAGCATTGATAAAGTTAAAAGAAAGTGCTTGCTGTCATGTAAGAAAAGTTACTGTAGGATCCTTTTATCTCCACAAAATATGCAGAATACACACTGTTCTGCCCTGTTCTTCCGGTATGAGACAGCTCTCCTTATTACAAACTTCCCTTTAAGAACCTAATTCATCTTAGATTGTCTAAGTACAAAAGCTGAATCTGTAATCTTCAACAAGCCACAGAGCTGAAAAGTTAGGAGTAGTTTTTTGTGTGTCACAGCACACTCACCACATCTGTCAGAAACAAGCTGCTGACTAAGAGCAAAACCCAGGAACGACTCACTACTAATTTCTGTCATGTTCCAACGTCAACCTGCTGGCTCATAAAAACTTCACTCAGGCGGTAACTATCATCACTTCTGGAAAAGCTGACGAGTAACTAAAAGAGTTATAAAAAGGCTAAAAGATAAGTAGAGATCTGTAGTTAAGCAGAATAACCTCTGTTTCATTAGGAGTGCTACGACCTTATGAGTCAACGGACAAAACGGGAAGTGATGACTTTATTTTAAAAATAAATGTCCTATTTGCTTATATGAAAGAGAAAACTCATCATATGTAATACATTAAGTAACAATGTCTAAGATTTTTCCATTCCTTAATAGCCACTTTGCAATTATGTACTGTTTTGGGACTGACAAAAAAAAATAGACATCGACTTAGAGACTTAAAGATAGATATCAAATGCTTTAAGAGGATGGGTGCTATTAATTACACTTTCAGTGTACCTGACATATAGCCAATTTTAGCTTGAAACACAATTTACTTTTTCTAATGTAATAAAAAATAAAATAAAAAGTAAGCACGAGTTCTTGGACAAAAAAAGATCTGTGTATGTTTTGCACACTAATTGTAAAGTATAAGCTAAAGCTAAAACAAATAGTCAACAATCAACTGCATCCCCACTATAAACAGAGATGAAGGGGTTTGAGAGGGATGACTGTCAAAAAATGAAATACTAAGGCAAAAACAGGTCAAAGGACAGGAAAAAAACAAAAGGACAGACGGAGAGATGGAGAGATACCACTCTTCAGGGGTCAAACCAGGACTGAAAGGCGATCGAGGGAGAGCAAAGAAGCCCCTGTCCTGTGAGCTGAGTGCTCTCTGTCAGTCTAAGCTTCTGGCCAGAGATGGAGCTGGTTGCCAAGGAGACACACCACCTTCAAGCAGGACGATGGCTCTCACAAATCAACCCATTCATTCCTGTGACGTGAGCGGCACCGATAACAGTGACGTGAGTGTACTATGAGCTTGTGTGCTATGGGACCGTGTTGCTCCTGGTGAGAGGAGCTTCGTCTTTAGACCCGCCTTGTGCTTTCCCCTCCTTAGCAACACCCTGGATCTGGCTCCACAGGTTATCTCAAACATATATGCTCTCACTATAATAGAGTCCACTGCTTGGCATGTTAGTGCCAACTGTCCTGGCAGTATGTTTCCTCCTCCCTTAGTGACAATGAAATCACAGAGACCATCTTCCTGCTCCCATTGGCTGGTAAGCTCCATGGTGATGCCCTGTGATTGGGCATACCCAGCATGCACTCTCGGCCAATCAGGTTCACTGTATCCAAGAGACTGAAGCATGTAAGGCTATTTAAATCCAACCAGAGACTCACAAGATTGTTCAGATGTATATTTCACAGTGTAAAAAATAAAAAGCTAGGGGGAAAAGGTTTACGAGTGGACGAATGTGCAAATCCAGACAGACCTGATTGGTGTTTAGAGTGGTCGGCCTATCTAGACGGGTTAAAGAGACCCAGAGCGAAGCGTGAGTTGAATGAATGAACTTCTGCATCATGTACTCCTCCTGAACCCTGAGTTTATCTATGAATATCGATCAAATCCTACAACTCCTCTGCACTGATGCTTGAGTTGCAGTATGTGAAGCTTGAAGAGAGCGGGGAAATGGCATGGTTAAAACCAAATGGACAGTGGAAGTAAAAAAAAACCTGGAGATCTTTTCTCCTCTACAACTATCTGTCAGTGGGGGCAGCCAGCTATTGGTCTTTCATGGTGCAACCCGGAGCAGGAATGTTGCATCCAAGACCAACTTGCGGTGGACAACAACTACAGAGTGAAACTCGCGCTGACGAACGCAGCGTAAGTCCGTGGCCATTTTGTGTCCACTCATTTTTTGAAACGTCATACTTTCTGTGACAACAAAATGGCGGACGAATCCGAATGCCGGGCTGGCAAATTATTTTCAAAACCAAATTTTAACAGTTTTGCTGTAAATTAATATTTAACATTTTCCGATTGTAGATTATAATTTTGTGTGTACTGCTAATATATGATTTCTCTGTATGTTTTGATGCATTACATTTGTCTAGAACTGACATGAAGGCTTTTACATATTGCTTTTTATTTACACTTACACTTATTTTCCCATACATCCGTCTGTGTCAGAGAGCGGACATGTCAATAGAGCACGCCAGATAGGGCTTACAGGATTATAGAGAATGACCTGTGTGGCTTTAACATGAATGAGAGGAGAGGTGAAAGTAGGCTACAGCTATGACCGCTGCTCCCAACTACAGCGTGACCATGAAAACAGCAGAACCACACTGACTGGAGGCGTCCGAATGTTGGTCAAAAAGTAGTAAATAAAGATGTTTTGTTTGTTTTTTTGTGAATTTAATAAACCTCATTTAAGCAAATAAATAATTATCTTGATATTCAAGTCACACCTTTTCTCTGTAAAGTAATTTGTAATCTCAGTTACACTCGGTTTTTATGTTGCTACTGAATAAAAATGTAATGGTAAGCAATGTTTTTAACTAGTAACGCTTAACTTTAATTTCTCACTTTTGTTTTCAGTCATTGAAACTGTTTTGTTTTCTTCCCACATTGTGACACTGAATGTGTTTCACTAGCTTTCACCCATCACAATAAACATCTGTTATACTCTTCTCTGCTGGTTACTGTAACCTTTGAAAATGTGTCTTAGAAATGTTTTAAATATATGACATTGTGAAAAAAACATATGACAATGACAATAAAAAATAAGCTTTCCAGTTTCTCACATCTTTTCCTTTTGATTATGTCAGAGATAATTATTATTTATAGATTGTTTTTTTACATCATACCAACTTATTTTACTAACTTTTACCTCAGTATAGCAATATAAATCCATATGCTGTTATAAAAAATAAAGGTTCATATAAGGAGACATTAGATATGTGTGTGTGTGTGTGTGTGTGTGTGTGTGTGTGTGTGTGTGTGTGTGTGTGTGTGTGCGTGCTGTATTTGTGTGTGTGTGGGTGTGTGGTTGAGTAATGCACTTATCTGTATTTGTGGTATTGATGTTTTTTGTACTCAGTTTAGTTTATGAGTGTAGGAGGCACATTATGATGCATAATTCACTGTTCAACATTGTGTAATTTCTGTTAACCGTCAGGTAACAGTTTTTCCCCCTTGATTTGAGTTTTTTTTTTTGTGTTTTCATGGACTCGAAGTTGGATATAATTTAAGATGTCAAATGTTTTATATCTTGGAAGTGTAATCTTAGCATTGTAGTTATTATTTGACATTTTTATAATACAACAACAATAATTTCTTTGCTTGACTATTAATGGATATATGCATCTTTACTATTCATACACCAAGAACCACAGTGGAAATATTATAATATTGTGTCACCCATGACCTTTTTGTGGTTGTGTGTTATTTAATGTCCTCCAGTGTACTCCACATCCAGGACCAGGACTTCTATCTAGATTTCCACATCCCTCCAGCTTATCAAGGACTTCCATAAAATACAAAATACTTTGGAAACGCCCTTTTTAAACTCCTTCAAAATCATTTAAATGAATTCAAGTTTCAACTAACTTAATTATCCATTATGTATAGGCAGTGGTAGAATGTAACTAAGTAAATTTACTCATACTGTTTTGAGGTCCTCTCCCTGAATATTTCCATTTTATGATACATTTTCGGAGGAAATACAGTACTTTTTACTTCACTATCTTTATTTAATGGCTTTACTTACAAGCTACTTTGCAGATCCGATCATTAACTCAAAACAAATCAACTAATCAATTATGATGTATTATAAGTCAAGCTAGCCAGCAGGACATAAAGAAGCCTAATTAAAACTAGACCCACCTTCACCAGCTGTAGCATTATGAACACATTAATGCATTACTAATTATATTTTAATAACAGCATATTACATTTAGGATTCTGAAATTGGTCATTCTGCAAAACGAGTATTATTATGTCGGTACTTAAAGTACATTTTGATGCTAATACTACTGTTTAATGCAGGACTTTTTCTGCTGCATTTAAATATGTGGTGTTTTGTAGGCCTATGTAAGTGTCTTATCTATTGTCATGTTTTTGTTTTGTTTTTTAATGTTGTGTGTGGACCCCAGACCGAGTAGCTGATGTTCTGCTTTATCTAATATGGCATCCTAATGACAACTAATCTAATTTTCACTCACCTTAACACCTCTTCCATCCCTGGATGCAGCGCTTTACTTTATGAGGACAATCAGTGTGCACCCTCATCCACCGGATACACGCGCGTCACCGTCTCCCGCGAGACTGCCCTTAAGTGAAGCTCGTGCACGTGGTCTCCCTCTTTGGCCACTTTGCTGCAGGCTGCAAAAACTTCACAGCTTTCAACAAATTTCAGGTGTCATGCTTGTTTTGTTGTGTCCTCTGAAGCCGGGTGTGAGAGTTGGAATGAGGACCGTCCCCGCTGTCACACACACAGAGGATTTTACCCGGGTTAACGGTGAGTTTTTTCTCCTTTTTAATAACCGTTGATGGGGGGGTTAACTGTCATTCATACCTTCCTGTTTCTCATCACCTCTGCGTGTGGTCCCGGTAAAAGCTGGGTACACTTACTACAGAACAACTTCTACTGCTCTTGCAGGGAACAGTGCTAATAAACTCGTTATTTTTGTTTCTTTAATGCTATTATAAGGGTATTTTTTTGTTTCTTGGGTTTGTTGTTGGAGCTACCGCGGCGGCATTTGGTCACCATGGAGACGGAGCGTGAACGCGCAGAGGGACTCCTCGTTCACTCGCACATAAAAGTCTTCAAATCCACCAAATATATAACATGGAGAAGTTGTGCTAGAAAAACATTACTGCTTAAATTTTATTGTGTTTTTTCAACCACAGAGACACAAACAACAATTTAGCCACATGCTGGTCGTTTTTCGCACTTTAAATCTAAAGTGATTAACTATTATTAGGATGGTTTTCTTGCAATCTGCAATAGAAACAGTGTATTTGAACTGTCCCACTGTTGGACTGAGTGTAGCATCCTACACACAGTGTGTGACCAGTGCATGAAAGACAAAACACTATCTTGCCATCAGTGGTGAGATGTAAGCTCAATAACAATTTCAATAAACTTTACTTTTATTTGTGCATATTCATTTAAAAGTTATAGTTGATAGTTACTTTGCAGATTAAGATTTTACATATGGATTTGTAAACTTTGGGAAATTGTGATGGACATTGTTCACTATTTTCCAACATTTTATAAACTTAAAGATTAATGGATTTATGGAGAAAATAATATTTAGTTAGTTCTTGGCTCTAAATGCAATCATTTAGTATATATTCTACCACTGACAGCCTTTACTTTTCAGACTTAAGGTACATTTTGAATACTGACATGCTTTTACTTAAGTAAAATGAATGACTTTTACTTGTGATAGAGTCATCTTTATATTGTAGTATTGGTACTTATGTAAGGGATCTGGATACTTCTTTCACCACTGCTCGCCATGCTTTAAATGTTATTCCCTGCAGCCTCAGAAGTATTTTACACCTACAGTTTATTTTCTGTTTGGTTTTTTTTCTAGCTGCTTCTCGTCAGTGAGACATCCTGTAACCACTCGCATTATGAAATCAAACCACTGAAGTAATTTGCAGACTGTCTTGGCAAATGTCACATAGGCCTAAGTGGCCTCTATGGAGAGAAAACATGAGATTTGCAGCCCGTTCGTTCCACGGCGAAGCCCTTTGAGGAAAACGAGTGCAGAAATTGTCAGTGAAGCCAGACAGTCCCTGCGAGTCCAGTCCACCCAGCGACCATTTACCCCCAGAGATGGACACAGGCAACTTTTTGGAAAGAGCTCTGCTCGTGCAGACCGTGACAACAGGCCTCCATCGACCTTTAGGTTAGTCACAAACTCCACTTGAATGTCCTTCAGGTTCTGAGATCAACTGTAACTTGTAGAAGTAATGAGACATTTTTTTTTTACTTTTCAGTCTTCATGCTCAAAATTTTGATGCTCCTGACTCCAGGCCAGGTTCAGGGACTCGCCTCTCTCCTCTGGACCACGTATGTTCCCTAACACACACCTATATACTGTAGTTAAAAAAGGTATTTCAGTTTTGAATTATGGTATTATTTGTTGTAAGCTCAAATACATATTTGCATATTATGATGTTATATTACCATGAAAGCTGAAAAATAGGATAAGGAATATACACGCCTCTGTACGCCACCATAAAAGCTTATCTGGTTTTAATAAATAGGATTATAATGTTAATATATGAGATCAAAAATATGAATAATCACCAAAATAATGGAATCTCTTTGTGTACATAAGTAGTTTCATTGGTGGATTTGAGTTCTGGCTCAATGTTAACACCATCGTATGCCACTAATATGTTTTTGTGGTACCAGAAGCCAAAGTTTCCAGTCCCCTGCGAGGCTGAGGATTCATTCAAGGCCTTTCCCAAACCCCCCACTGACCCACTGGAAGTGAAGAGGGGCTTGGCAAGGACACGGGCACGCCTGCTCAGGGCTGGATCTCTCACCATGTTGCCTTCTGTAGAGGGACACACAGATGGTAAGGAAGAAAAAACTGCAAGCCTGGATCAAGGCAGAAAAGACGGTAGATAAAAGAAAAAACTAAAAGTGTGCTGAATGTGTGACATATAGTAGAGTAATTATGATTAGGTAATCCACGTTGTGCTTTCAGTAAAATGGTGATTCGTCAGACATTTGTGCATTTGTGAAACAGGTTTTAAAAAAAAAAAATTTAAAAAAGAAACCCAGTAGTCCATTCATTTCCTGTTGCATTGCCGTAAATCTTCTGTGTAGGCACTAGTGCAGGAGCAGTTTTCTCAAAGGGAAATGAATGGAGCCATTCACATGCTGACATTACACCTGATTTACATTCTCTGTTGTTGGGCTTGGTGAATTTACTGCTGCTGTTTTGAGTGGAAAATTAGTACACTCTTTCTCAAACCCTTTCTTGTGAATCTGCTATGTGGAGCAATAAAATACATGACATGGATGTTAAAAAAAACTCAATTTGGATCTGAATACGTATATGTATGTATACGGTATGTGACTGTGTACAGAACAAGTGCAGGACAAGTAGAAATGTTACTGCAGCATACAACAGAAACCTGTATATAACTTCTTGCCACATCCTTTCTGTGTGTGCAGTGAAAGAGAGATTGAATCTAGGCCCAGGACAAAAGCAGCCGTCAGCTAAACGACTCCCCAGTACAGATCACACTGTGGTCCCAAGTGGTCCCCACAAAGCTGGCCCACGCAGAACAGCAAGTGAAAGGTACGCTTTCTATCCCTCTGTTTGACTTGCAAGATCTGTCCTTCTCTCTCATCTGCCCCCCCACCCCTCTCCAGCTCCCTCTTTTTGACCAAAGTGACAATGCGACAATGAGTTGAAGATTTATAGGCACACAAAGGTTGCAGTGGTTGCCATTTCGAGATGGAGGTGATTGTGCCTCCCATTTTCGCCTTTCATGAAATCCTTCTCAGCCTGCTCCTTGCTTTTTTGCCTCTCTCTTTGCCCCAGTATGACAAATTCATTGAGTTTCTAATGTCTTTTTGTGCCCCTGTTTTGGTCCATAACCTATTTAGACTACAGGGAACAGAAAATTAATTAATAATTAATTACTAATACCTTAGTAAGGCTGATAACATTACTGTTATTGTTTGTGTTTTGCGCTTAAATGCCCATGATTTAAATGTTAAACATCCGGTGTTTAACATTTAGGAGGATCTTTTGGCAGAAATAGAATATAATATTCATAGGTATGTTTTCATTAATGTATAATCACCTGAATACAATAGTTGTTGTTGTTTTCGTTACCTTAAAATGAGCCGTTTTTTATCTTGGCCATGTTGACCCACCATATTTCTACAGTAGCCCGGAACAGACAATCCAAACACTGGCTGTATATAGGGCCTTTTGAGTTTCACAGCCACTGTATCTGTTTCTCCTTCGTGTTTGGTTGCGACTCAGTTGGTTGCAATCTGCAGTCTCACCACTTGATGCCATTAAATCCTAGAAACTGGTCCTTTAATGAAAACACAGGCCTAGAAACTCAAATTGACTGACATGTCTTGTATACTACATATATTCTGCTTTATTCAGTGTTTCTACCGTTTTTTAAAGAGATCTCTGCAGGGAGAAGCTGACTGCAACAACTCCCATGATCCCACAGGACTTCACAACATCACCAAACTTTATCTTTTGTTATTGTTTTAATGTAAGAAGCCCCCTAGTGGCAGAAATTACATATTGTACGTACCTTTAATTAAAACTGTATTACCCATAAACATTTCCCAAAGCAAGCAGCTTTTAAAGCCATGATTTACTTGATCCAGGGCCTGAACCTTTTAGATACATTCAGCTACCAGCACTGACAGCTGAACATATGATGTCAGTTAGACCAGCAAAGGTATCACTAAGTAATAGATAGAACGAATTCTTCAACTTGAGACACTCGACCCCATTTTAAACCCTCATATACTTTACTATACACTATATCTTGGTCACAGTTACATCCAGCTTCTTGGCAAGTTTCATTCGTAATGAAACTGCCTCTATCCGTCTTTACAATCATGTGTCAGCTTTTACACCTTCACAGTGCAGAAAGGCTAAAAGCTCTGATTTTTTCTGCCGACCTCATCAGCTGTGTGTTAGCACGAGGGGTATAATTCTGCGCGTGAGGTTGGGGGCTGTCGTTACAATCCATCCGCCTATTGATTGGGTGGGGCAGCTGGGACTGTAGAGGGGGGACAGACCATAAAACACAGAAATCTGGGTATTGCTGGCAGCAAAGCCCCCTCACCTCCTCCCTCGCAACTCAAGTTAACACACAATGTTTGTATAACTTGTTGCTGACAAAGAAAGGTCCCAAGAGATGAGACTGTGGTCAAGTTTTGATTTAAGAGGATAAGATCAAAGAAATCCCCTCCTGATTAGTGTTAGGTCAGAGTTTTTGAAGTACTCTTCTCTAGTGTTGCAAGGAACTACATAAAAGGTGCATTAGATAGAGACAAACAGAGTGAAAATCACAGAGCTAGTCAAGCCAGAAGTACACTGACTGCAAGTGGAAATAGACACAGCACGACAGATTAATGTGATGAGTTGGATGAGATATAAAGATAGGGGAGATTAGACATCCACTAGGTTCTTTTTCTCCAATAAGCCGGAGCTTTATAGCTCCAAATGGCTCTCTATTAGATTTGGGTGCCCATCTGGGCAAGGCTGGCAGCAGCGTGTGTTGTGACTGCAGTGCACTGGCCAGGCCTAAGACAGGGATGAGGTCATGTCTCAGAGAATGCAGTATCACACAAAGAGGCCTTATTATCAGGCTCTTAATCCTATCATACAGAGCCAAAGCCCCCTCTCTGACATTCACTGCAACATGCATTGGCCAGCACTCCCTGCTGCATATGCCCTGTGTGCCAGCTTACACCAATCACTAAATCTCCATCAAAGTAAAAGTGCACTCTATAGTAGCACCCACATGTTGTATATTAATGTCAATGTCACAATGCCTTCTGGCTCCAGTAAAATGGAAAAGAGAATTTCTTTTACAATACTGAGTGCCATTTTCTGTCTTATAACTGTCAGCAAGACCATGAAATAAAGCTTTTACTCCCACTTGAGAGTAAAAGCTTAAAGAAATATTCCAAACTGAGAGCTTTTGTATTAATGTCATGGCAAAAGCTTCAGATGATCCTGATAACATAATAATGTTTGTCTTTAACATGAGTGATTACACTTTTCCATGTAAGTTTGATTCACTCTTTTGTGTGAGATTTGTGGCATAATCTTGCAGTTATAGAGGTGACCTGACTGATTTGATGACTCAATATACTGCTTGTATTTATCTCTGCTCATTAATAATTATTATTTCAGCTGTTCACATAGCAGTTAGTCATTAGAGACACTACCTGTCATGTTTCACAGAAATTATTGGAGCATGTAGTCAATCTCTTTGGGTGTGAGAGGAATAGTGCAGACTTGACAGAGACGTGCAGAGAGTAAGATTTAGCAGTGACATGGAGAGGGCAAGCCACAACACAGAGCATAGCATGACAAGGGGCGTGTTTTTGGAAGAACTATACGGTTACTGCACAGGCGGTGAGACTGTGGAGACAGCTCACAGTGACAAAGCATGAACAGCTTTAACCAGACTGCCCACAAAGCTAAGATCTTAGTTCCTGTCTGTTGGGGATTGCAGTTTGTGATGCACAACGGCACACACACAAAAACTTACAAACAGTCACGCACAAACAGACACACACACACACACACACACACACAGACACACAGATACAGACACACACACACACACACACACACACACACACGCACACATATGTATCTGCATGAGCTTAAATGTACATACACAGATGCATGCACACACTACAGATACCAGCACCTGCGCACAAGTCTCAACCTCTGCTGCAAGAGAGACACCTAGTGGCAGTTTATGAAAATACACCTGTGGCCTTGACAGAGTATAAAGTCAGCAACTTTTCATGGAGATTTGTTCTTTGACACAAAAACTCATCTTTTAAACCTTTTTTGTTTCTTTCAGTTAAGGTTTTTTTTTAAATAGTATTTACGGGTGTCTGGTTAGCTCAGTCGGTAGAGCTGGTGACCCATCTACGCAGCAGTGTGGGTTGGAATCCGACCTGCGCCCTTTGCTGCATGTCATCCCCTCTCTCTGCCCCCCTTTCCTGTCTATCTCTCTCTATCAAATAAAGGCCAAAAAATAGTATGTACTATTATTTTAATGCCCAAATGAGCCAAATCTCCCAAAGTCAATTAAATTAAAGTAAACTAGTCAATAGTCCCATACTGTATGTCTCATCTCCAAAATCTGATGTAACCAGGCTCTTTGTGTTTTTGTGTTTCTTTGTGTCAACAGTAGAATAATGCAGCCTGGTGATGACTCAGGTGTTGGACCCACAGAGTGCAGAGTAGGATGGAGAACAGGTTTGTCCAGATGTACTAAATGAACCTCATTGCTATTTTTTTACATATTAAACATGAATGGTGCATTTTGTACACCATGTAAAAGAAAAATGTTGTTGCAACTTCTTCCTAACATACCATTCAACCACAGTTTTTACTTCAAATGTAGCTTATTTTCTAAGATGCCTAAAGCCAAACTGAAATCCACAAATATGCCTAAATATAATAAGAAATGAGCCCATAAATGTTTCGCCAACAACATAGACACACATTTCTCCCAGTAAATGAACACCCCTTTCTGAGTGTCAAACTTTGATTGGGGTGTTGTTGCTAAGGGACTTAATTTCCACCATGAGAGGCAGCCAGCCAATAGCTGAGAGAGCTGTTGGTTTGAGCAACCACAGTTTCCTGCATCACACCAAGCAAAGGGGTATGCAAATGTTCAGCAAAAAGAGATGCATGGTCTGTGAGAGGCTGCAGACATTTGCGTGCACAAACATATGCACACGTGTTTTCATCACACATGCACGTCACATGCTGATACACAGACTATTTCACATCAGCACAAACAGATATCAGAGGAAGTGAAGTTGAGGATGGTGACCTTTCATTGTGGCATCAAACTTCCTGCTGTTTTATTTTAAGACACTGAACTTGTGAACCATGCCTGCCGCTCATGTTCACCGTCTGGGTTTGGCGGTGGTAATTGGCTAACTGCAATTCTCTCTTCGCATTTCAGAGCTGGGGAATGGAGAAAACACCACAAGCACAGAGGAGGAGGATGCAGAGTCACTGGTGTGGAATAATGCCATTGCTCCTCTTCTCCAACAACTAGAAAGTGTGGCTGCAGGTAGTGTGAGCAATGCAATAACTCAATAAGAAAGTGCAAACATGGGACATATATTAGTCTTGACCGGATGCATTCATTTGACCTAAAGAGTATATAGTTTCTATCACCTACTCCACTCACCACATCACATATTTCATTTGGCATGTTGGGTTGAAGACTGTCTCTGGAGCTAATCTAAAATGTAATGTGGTTACAGTAGGTTTTTTATAGTGCCTCATTTCTCTGTTTCCTTACTACATTTCATTTTCAACCAGCAGACGGGCAAACAGATTCTTAGAATTAGTCAGATAGTCATGCATGAAGTCTCACAAAATGAAAAAGCACTGTCATTTCAGCCACTGAAGAAAGGCAAACAAAATAGTGTTATGTTTGGCATCCATACAGAATTGTCTTAGTCTGAAACTGCAGTCTGGCAGCCATGAAATGAAATCTATGGCTGTAAATATTTTAACACTCTACAAATTTAATGGAAAATTCATTTGAAAGATAAATATTAAATATTTATTGTACCAAGTGCCTTCTGGCTCATGCATAAAACACCTTTCAGATTCAGTGGGAAATTGCAGTGAAGTGTTGAGTGTGAGACTGCAGCCAACCTTTTTTAGAAATGGCCAAACCCAGTTATTTATGCAAGGAAAACATTTATTTTACCTCAAAAACAAGGAAAAGACTCCACCCTTTGTCTTCCTCTGCCTAAAGATTGTAGCTGCCTGTTGCAGAAAGTGTTCCCCTGCATCTGACCATAGAAACTAAGAACTGGTTCTTAGAAAAGAGAGGAGAATGTTATTTTACTGCTGACCAATGTATTATTGATGTTGAGGATTTAACCTCAAGTTCCTCATGCAAATGATAAATGCACACCATGCAGTAGAGCCCAAGTATATTGCACATACCGTAACACACACAAAGTATCACTCATCTGTATTTATATGGATGCACACTTGCCAACACACACAAGTGAGTGTTTTCATTTTGGGATGTTTGCTTTCTTTGTGAATGTTTGACATGTTGCCCTGAACTTGACATCTTTTTTCTTTTTTTGCAATATCTGCTTTGCTGCAATGCCAGGCAGTTCTGAGGGCTCGGTGGACCGCCTCTGTGATTTGTGTGACGGTCTCCATGGCACCTTGGCAGAAGCGGACATGCTCGGCCGACGCTGTAAGAGGAGGTCAGGGATACTTCGAACACTGTTCCGCCTCATCGACCTCAACTCTGCCCAGCTCAACCTGCACATCGGCAAGCTGTGCCTCGTTGTGAGTCATCTGTGTCTATGTGGGTGTCAGCATGTCTGCCTATCCCTATCAAAAAGGTATCGCGGGCACTTGGGCATTTGATACAAAGGTTGAAAAAGAAAGTTTTTTACATTTTTCTCTCCAGCTGTCTGTCAGTGGAAACAACCTGCTCAACATCTGTAAGCTCATCTTCCAGATCAGCCGCAGTGAAAGCAACGACATCCTCTTCCAGAACAACTCTATCATAGGTGAACACTAGGTTTCATGGAAGTTACATAAAGTCAGTTTAAAGGAACACAATGTTCAATATTCTTCTTCATGTTGGCTTAAGTAAATGTTCCCACTATTATTAAAAATGTTTTTATGTCCGGTTTATAAGCTGCTCCAAGAGCATAATGTTCTCTGCTGGCCTGGCCTCTTCAGTCAAGCCTGGAATGAATTTTAGCTGTCTGGCTCTACTTGAACCCCTTTGCTAGGTCATTACAGATTGCAGTATGTGCCTCATATGGATGTTAACATTCAATTTCTGTCTGTATCTAGACTCGCTTCTGGGAATTTTGAGCAATGAGGATGTGTCTACATCTGGAGAAGCTCTGTTGTACTGTGTTGGGACTCTGAAATTTCTCTCTGGAAACAGTGCAATACTCAGACTCCTGCTGGACAAGAACTGTATTGGTGTGGCTCAGAAACTTATCCAGAGGCTCTGCGTGGCAGAAGACACCAACTTCACTATAGCAGGCCACATCCTCGTACAGGTGTGTCACAGACTTTAAATAGCATTTTAAAATGTTTAGAATAAATCCTTAGATATTTGCTGTACACCAATCTTTTTAAACCAATAGCTTTTATATTACAACTCAGTGGGAAACTTGTAGCATCTTACAAAACAACACACATATTTTAATTTATGTGGCTATGTGAGTAAAAAACACAAAGTTATACTAAGTCACTATAAAGGAACACAATGTTAAATATTCTTTTTGTTCTGTTTGTTGGCGGGTTTTACCACTATTAGGCAAAAATGTTTTTGTTTATGTCTCGTATATAAGCTGCTCCAAGAGCAAAATGTTCTTTGCTGGCCTGGCCACTTCAGTCAAAAACACACCCTGCTTCACTCTTCCGAAAATGATTGCTGCTAACCGCATAAGTTGGCCCAAGCAAACATCTTGAGCCAGCGCTTCATTTGATATCCAACATAAGTCATTATGCTTTTAGAGGAGGGAAACAGACAGACCATGACTTTCCAGAACTTCCAGTGCTGCCGTGCGTTGGAAATTACTGTTTCCCTCTTTTGAAAGAATGATTTATGTCCATACTGAATAGTTTCCGGTTGCTGTGCTGTATGGCATCCTGTACAGGCCAACAGCCAGCCTTAATGAGCATATGACCAACATTGTGTGCAAGCCACAAATTCACAACACTGACATGCAATACTGACCTAAATATAAATGCTTAGATACAGTGGGTACATTTCTATACATTTCTTCCTGCTATCCAACATTCTCACCCTTCGTTCTCTCTGTCTGACCTCTGACCCCTGTAGCTGACAGCGACACTGAGGAACCTCGCAGATCACCCTGACTCCCGTCCACTCTTCATCTCCTTCTCTATAGTACAAGAGCTCTGTTTGGTACTGCGGCGTCATCGCAAAGACCAGGACATCTGCACCAACATTTCCAGAATATACAGGTATTGCACTTCCATTAGATTATATTAATATGACATGACGTTACACCTCACTCCTGGTTTGGATTATTTTTGCTATTGGGGATCATTTCTCTACAGCTCACATAAACCTGATATGATCAAAACAGGCCATCATTCAGCTCACACCCTGTCTTCTCTCTTTGCCTGTCCAACTCTAGCAGTTACTCTCCTCCTAAATGTCCTGCTTTCTTTCTCACATGGCATCTTTGTAGTTGGGTCTCACAGAACAGAGTAGGCAGAGAAACATACATTTATCAGACAGGATGTGGTTATACACCTGTTTTTGTGTCTATGCCGTTATAAACACTTGAGGAAGTGATACAGCTTATTTCTGTCATGCCAGTTTCTGTAGTTTTGAGCTTATTCAGCTTATAGAGTTGCATAAACTTATTAGTTATTTATATTCAGGAATTTAAATGGAGACAATGTAACTTTAGCTGAACAGTGGCCACTGTGGCCACAAGTCACAGTTGTGGGACAACTGTAAATATTATGAATGTAGTGAAGTAGCAAGGTCATAAGGTCAGCAAACTGACTCGTTTATACATACATATACAGTGAGATCAAAATTTGCTAAGATCAGCTAACATCAGCCACTATAGGTTAATGTTTATACCAGACCAAAGCCTTTGGGTATATTGAAATAAATTAATACTGTGTCATTTTTTCATTAAAAAGTTATATCGTCTCACTTCAAGCCTTTACAGGCAAAATATTGCACACTATAATTGGAATTTAACACTAACCTGGAGGTGTTTCTGCACTTTCACTGAATCAGACAGACACTTTATGTAAGCTCAGCTGTATCCACCCTCATCGCACAACTTCCACTGTTGTACTTCTTACTTCAGATTGAGTGCAGTAGTGTGTAGAGGCATGGGACAGGGGTTCAATGTAAAACCAGAAACAGGGCGTTGGCACCAAAGTCACCCGAGGTCTCATCTTCTCTGTGACAGCAGGCCACTTACTGCAGGCTGATTATCATCTGATTACAGTACCTCCACCAAACAGAGTGCAATGACACAAATGATTCAGTCCCCATATTCTTTTACCAGTTTCTCTCTCTAGGTCTCGGCCTCCACTCACAAAATATAAGGCAAAGCAGTTTCACTAGGTGTTAGCGCTGATGAAGCTAATACTGCCTGAATATTTTTGCCCACGGTAATGAAAGCATGAACGGTAGATCCCGGCCCAAACCTACTTATCCATTAGCTGTGTTGATTTAATATCTCCATATTTAGTCAGCAAAGTGGAGCAGTCAGTGGGTGGAATGATCAGTGGTATTTGTTGTCCCCTTTCTCTCTCAGTAAACTCTCCTCTTACTCGGAGTGCCGCCTCGCTCTGGCCCAGACCCCCGACTGCTACCAACTATTTTTAGAACTGCTGAGCAAACATCACCAAAAACAGGTGAGTCCACGAGCCTCCTCTTGTTTGTGTGTGTGAGTGATTGAGTCTGTGAGTATTAGCGAGAAGCAAAGTCTTTTCCAGTGTTCATGTAACTCCACTGAGCTATGTTTACCCTCAGAACAAGTTGTTTGTGTACGCCAAGTCCAAGCATATTTAAGGACATTGTGTCCATTTGCACGTAGCGTCCGTCTCTCTTTTTCTGCTCTTCTATGTGTGTGTGTGTGTGTGTGTGTGTGTGTGTGTGTATGTGTGTTTTGACATTTAATCATCCCAGGAGGGGCTGAGTAAGTCAAGGAAGGGGGAGGAGGGCAAGAGGAGGAAAAGGGGAAAAAACAAAGGAGGTGAGCTTGAGTACATAATAGATATTAGGGGTGAAACAGAGGTGGAGGGGAGGAGTGATACGATGAGGAGGAGTAGAAGAAGAAAAAGGGTCGGACTTTGGCAATCAAACATGACTGACATGTGTTCTTAATCTCATACTGAATAAACACACCCACGTCTTCAAATACACACACACACACACACACACACACACACACACTGGACAGTAAGACATGTAACAAGCACCTAGTCCAAGGACAGTCCGTCCTGTTCCCATATCAATGTCACTATGGGCTTATGGGAGAAATGAGTGTGTTCTGCTCTTCATGTTATTGACTAAGACGAGTCAGGATACAAGGGTGACGCACAGGGTGTCATTTGTTACCTTTTTTCTCAGTACGTGTGATATAACTCATTGAAAAGATAGGGTGTAGTTATACTCAAACAAGTCTGCACAGCTATGAGCTCTCTGGGAGGAAATGAGTGACACCTATTAGACAGGGCAGGCTCACTGTGCTGCAGGTGGCTGTTGATCTTAAAATACTAAATGTGATCTCATATTGAATGTTGACTGTTCTCATCATCAGAAACAATCCGTTCTCTTGGGAGGGAGGTTGTTGTTTTTTTACCACCACCACCCTAACTGAAACACTTTCTCACTCATATTTTTACACACATAGGCCCTGTATACAATCACACACACACACACACACACACACACACACACACACACACACACACACACACACAGGGCTCGTGGTCATGCAAATGTGGAGAAATGGTGGAGCAATGGGAGCAGTTAGAAGTTCATCCGCCCTCTGGTTCCCTATCCAAGTGCTATGTACTATATCTGTGTACTATATTTACTATATAACTATTTGGATCTACTATATATAATATAGGCACACTTCACTATTTTCTGGTATTCTACAGATGAAACAATAAATTGATTAAACAACAATATAAATTGCAGATTAACAGATAATTAAAATAATTATGTGTTGAATCTTTAAAATATACATTCATGTGATAAATATGAGCCCAGAAACCAGTATAAATAAGCTCTAAATATACTGTGTGTCCTATATAATCCACACACGATAACTCAACACTGAACAAGTTAAAATATTGTGTTTGAGGCCTTTCTGCCACATTTGCAATGGAAAATAACCTCTTTTGCTTTCATTTTTAAGTAAAATAATTGTCAGCTGCTGATTGACCACTACAATATTGTCTCCCACAGGACCTTGTCGTGCGCCTTCTTTTCACCCTCGGGAACCTCACAGCCAAAAGCGACGAGGCTCGGCAGCAGCTCTTTCAGTGCAAGGGCTGCATGGACACACTTCTGCAGCTGTACGACAGCTACCAGCTCAGAGACGAGTCGCCGCACACACCCTCGCGGAAAGGGCCCCCTTCCTCCAGCAAGCCTCTTGCACCACCAGTGAGTGTGCAGGAACATGAGGATGTGCTGGTGAAGCTGGTCAGGGTCCTGGCAAACATGTGCATCCACCCGGCCGTAGGTCCAGCTCTGGCAACCAACACAACCTGCATTCAGCTGCTGATGGAGACACTCGGTGAGCAGGAGGAACTCATTGTCTTTGAGTCATTGTTAAGTGAAAGATGAGGTGTGAAATAGAAGATGCAGTCAGTAGCAGATTTACGGCTGCATTTCTAGATTTGTCCTGTTTTGCCCATGTTACATCTGTATGTCATACAAAGGAAGCAGTGTGTGAAAATCTGATGTCCTGTTAAGTTTAAAAATAGCTGCTTGCAGCTTTGTACGTACAGTAAATATATGCTAGGCATCTAACCACTTCCTTTGTGCTGGGAACAAGACATGACTTTGGTCGAAAACACACTCATTTGTCTGTTCATTCCATCGTTCGCTTTCCTCTCAGAGCTTTGTGTTCGATACACAGCACATCCTCTTTTGGTTTACTTGTTGTTTTTTTAAGTCTAACAGAGCGAAGCACTTCACTGCATGAGCAGGATGTTCTGTCACATCTCATAGCCGATTTGGTTTGTGTGTGTGAAATTCTCCCAGGTGGTTAGATGGTTTCAGGACAGATTGAACCGATACGCAGGTGGGTGTGAAACTCTCGATTTCGCTGCTGCCTCCTACACACACTTCATGGCAGTTGGGGGGGGGAGATATTAAATAAAACAGGTCAAACTGGTGAAATAATGTCAAATCTTCTTGCCAGAGAGTAAGATGGGAAGTAAATTAAGTAACTGAAGACAGAAACATAAAACAAGCAAATGAAGGAGACTGTGGAGTTGGTGTGACAGCTGGAAACAGAAAACAAAATCTCAGCCGAGGATGAAAGAGCAGGCTTGGCTGATCGATGTCCTGTTTTGATCAAGTTCATGACAGGCTGTGCTGCTTTACATTACAGAGCTCCGAGGGAGGGGCACAACAAAGCGGTATTTTCAGTCAGAACCAGAAACTAAATTCAGTGTGACACAGGCGCTTGGTTGACACCGACCGCAATATCCGCGATTTATGACCGAGCCTGCGACATCTGCTGCTATATCAGGAACAGACTTGGTTTCCAAGCAGCTCACAGTGTCACGGCTGGTTGGATTGGGTCACATTGACCTTTGTATGCCAGCTCATGATCAAACCAACAATATCAGGCCAGAATTTAACCACAGATAACAGCTTCTTTTATGATAATGTCACAGTGTCACAGCAGTGTGGCTGAGCTGTAATATGCAAAAAGGCTGAAAACCCACTGTACTGTATTACTGCATGCATTTTAAATCATTCTATTCACCTATACGTTGTCATGTTTATCCATTTACATCTACATTACCAAGTGAAATATGAAAAACAACCTTTGTTTACACACTCCATATTGCAGTTGTTTTATGGAGTAATTATCTACCTTTACTTTATCTTCTCCCCTTCATTAACATAAAATGATGCAAAGCTTTCACCTGGATTCACCTGGTCAGTTATTATCAGGGAGTGACTCCAGAACAAGGGCCACTTCCCATGAATGAATATGTCAGGAGCATGGAAGCCTTGTTCCTGTTGACTGCAGTACGGATGCTCCCTCTGTTGGTTGTAATTTAAACAGGAGGATTTTTCAGGAAAAATCAGAGGCATCTACCTCAAAATCTCTGTTAGAAATAATGTTCATTTAGGTTGCTCTTGGTGATGATTATTTCTTGTTTTTCTTTTGTGTGTGTGTGTGTGTGTGTGTGTGTGTGTGTGTGTGTGTGTGTGTGTGTGTGTGTGTGTGTGTGTGTGTGTGTTTGTCTGGGGATGGCACAGAGCTGAGGTCTGTGCAGGGAAGCGAGGAGCTGTTGGTGAATGTGGCTGCCACCATCAACAACCTGTCCTTCTACCAGGAAGAAAGCTCTGTGCTCAGACACAGTCAACTCGCCATCGCAAAGTGTAAGACTCACTGACCTTAATGTAGAAATTAAAAACAAACACAATGAGAGTGTGTTACTGTTTGTCTGTTTGGCTGATTTGACGTCTTTCTTTGTACTTTAGTGATGTTGAAGTTGGTACTCAGCTCCAGTATGGACGCCATGCTTGAGGCCACCCGTGTATTTGGAAATTTGTCACAGTCCAAGGACGTACGGGACTTTATTATGCAAAACAAAGGTATATGATGGACACAAACACCAACAGACACACAATACACATGAAACTATACTTCTTTCATGTTTAAGGCATACAGTATTCACTGATTCTTGCAGGAAAGAGTTGGCCTGTTAGAATCAAACTTGACCAACTCTTTAAAGCCTAATAATACACTGAAATAAATGATGTAAAGATGTAAAAACCCACCTTGACACAGACTGTCCAGTACAGTATGTACATGCATACAGTCATGTCATGTTTAGGCTAGGCTTATCTGCAAGGCCAGCTACAGTCAGTATAAACATGCCTACTGACTCTGGTGATAGGAGCCCTCTTATCTTTGCCCTGCTTTGTCTTTGTGCGCTCCCTCATCTTTCTCCGCTCTCTTCCCCTCAGTGCACCAGTTTGTAGTGACGCTGCTCGACTCAAAAAGCACCGAGATGTGTTTTTCAGCCTGCGGGGTCCTCACCAACCTGGCTCTGGACCCTCCAAACAGGGTCAGTCTCTCACTAGAGGGGGCTGCTGCCAAGTAAGGACTGATGCACTAAGAGATTAGGGTTTGTTCATGTGCATATATATATATATATATATATATATATACAGCACATTTTTGTATTTTATTTGACAGGCAATTTACACACTTTTCACCAAATATAGTAAAGCAGATCTACTGTGCTTGGACGAATAATATTCATTATGACCTAAAATTTAGTTAAATCATCTTAGTGCTCATAACTAGCAGCAACACATACATTATGTAAATATATCCCCATAATTACTGTATTCTACATTTTGTGCCAGTGGGTGTTAGATTTGGCTGCTAAATCTGGTGAATAGAGGGTATAAAAAGGATGCTGTTTGTTAAAGGAATATAAAGGAACACGCCTATTCACTTTCTTGCCCGAGTGATAGATGAGAAGGCCAGTTCCACTCTCAAGTCTCTACACTAAATATGACACTAGCTGGAAATACTGGAAACCAGGTGGAACAGCTAACCTGGCTCTCTCCAAAATTAATAAAACTCAGCACCTCATACACTCAAACAACAACCAAAGTTGTGTTTTTACAGGGGATTCTTTGCAGGACTGTTATCTCCTGTTTTCAGTCTTTAGCTAAGCTATGCTGCTAACAGACTCTCTAAGAAACTCCAAGACTTTTTTTTGTCTTTCTCAAAATCTATTTTTTTAATAGCAAACTGAGCTAAAGCTTTCTGGGTGTTTGGCAAACGTAGCATCCTCTTCACAGCAGAGAGTAAACTGTGTTTTTTGGGGGGAAATATGGTTTTCATTTGACAAACATGAGCACAACAACTCTACTGGCATGAACAAGATGCTACTAATCATCTCAATCTTGATGTTATTTGTTCACAGTAGTTAAAATTAGAATTACTAATTTGTACATCTAAATTTCCTTGTACATTTTTAACACATGGAAACTCAAAGTGGAACAGATTCAATCTGTAGTGTAAGCTTCTCACTTCCAAAACTGAGCATTGCTTTTACAGTTAACTCCCTATTTCCCCTTTACACACGGGCACACAAACACACACACACACACACACACACACACACACACACACACACACACACAAACACACACACACACATACACAGTCCTCTCTCAGATGTCGGTCCAATGAACTGGAGCTAATGCCCACAAACCTGCTGGTCATGTGAATCCCTCTCCCTCAAGTCATACGATGTGTGAGGTATGTGTCTGTGTGTGTGTGTGTGTGTGTGTGTGTGTGTGTGTGTGACCAGGCTTGTGGACTGTCTGAAAGACTTTGGACCAGGTGATTGGCAGCTGGCGGGCCAGGTTTGTCAGGCGCTGTGGAACATGATCGCCGGTGGCTCAGAGAAGCTGCTGGACACACAGGAGAGAGAGTCACTGCTGGAGATCCTTGTTGCATACTTAGGTTGGTGCACAGTGTTATTACTAATCCTTACATAACAAGGGAGGGAGCCATGCTGGAAAGAACATGCTCTTATTCACATCTGTGGCCCTCAGGGGGAAGGGAGGGACACACCGACTATCATGAACACAATACCTCCACTGTCACATCTGGGAGCTGCCTGAACACAAAGCCTGTCACTGAGAAGTATTCAAAATAAACCTGAACCCGCTCACTGCCCTCTCTCATCCTCCGTCCACTCTTTTTGTTTCATTCCTCAGATGAAGAAGAGGCTCTTAAATGGATAGAAGATGAAGATATGAGGGACTTCCACAGGGCCTGCTGGGAGTTAGAGTTCTTACCTGTAGCTCAAAAACTGATGAAGACGCTCCAGCCTCCGGGCCGGACGGCCTCGTGAACTGGAACTTAAATACTTAGTCCAGAGACTACATCATATCTATTAATCACTTACCTCCACTGGGTTTTTAAGGTGGCTGTAAAGGTTTGTAGTTTTCTTTTTCATGGAGGGAGTAGGTGAGGTCGGCTTGAATTTATGTCAGTTTGTTGTTTTTTTAAGGCCTTTAAAACGTCTCTTCACTGTACTGCCCGTCCGTAGGCTCAGATATAGATGGGCAGCAGCCATTGTGACATGAAATAGTAGGGCAAACACATATATTACCAATGATAATCATTAAGGCTTTGTTACGTTCAGCTCAAACAGTGTCAGGGTGCTGCTGTTGGCTCACTGGAAAGGCTCTGCTACACTAATTGGAATGGAGCCTTAATTAGCGTGGCTGCTGTGAAAAAGGTCAATTGATTGGAGGATTCAATCTAAGGATCTTTTAGATCCTTAGATTTAAGGCCTGCAAATGGTCAGTGTGTCATATTCAAACCAAAAGATTTTAGGTGGCTGATGAAGGTAATTATGCAAAATATAAGAAGCACTGAATCTACGTAAAACAATACGTGTGAATGTGAAAATGAAAAGAAAAAAAATCTCTGTTCTGTGGACAAATATTTGCATTTACATTTGTATTTCATTTTCATTTATTTATTTTCTGGTCACTCCTCGCATTATCAATACGAACAGCTACATGTTTTTTTATTGTTTAAATTTTTAACTTTTTTCACTTTTTATGCACTTTAATTCCCATAAAACTTGCAGTAGCCTTAATTTATGGGTATCTTCACGTGTACAGGGATAATTTAATGCAAGCTCTTTGCACATTTGATCTGTTTTGCTAGTACACCGAGTTGTAAAGGTTGTTTTATGATAATGTTGTCTTGAAAACACTCACCTGGAAGTTACCTCATAAGGAAATCTTTTACTGTCTGTGGATTGTGTGGCATTGGAACTTGTACATAATAAAGCAGAAGAGAGTGGAAAAAAAAACATTTTTTTGCTGTCAAAGCCTTTATTGTTACACAGATATGGGGCCAGGCAGTGCTTACACGTTACACCAAGTAGCCTAAAGTACAGCATTTCAAAATCACATCGTTATTACATCGAAACAAATCAGAAACGGCACTTAATGTAAAAACCCTCTTTCAGTTCCCCCAGTTTTCACACAACAGTGACCTTAAAACAACCACAAGACAAGCTGATGTTTCAAAAACAAAACCTAAACAATTCAATAGCCAGCGCTAATAACAAACATTGTTCTCTACATAGATTTCATCAGGTTGATATGAAAGACGGCTGGCAGATATCAAGGTTGCTTAATAAATGTTTCCTATTCCATAAATCGTCTGGGAAAGCCACCGAAATGTGAAGGCAGTTTGGTAAGTGGGTATAACACTGAGTTTCTCCTGGTGATTGTGTATTGACAGACAGGCCTCTGTGGCCTCGATAGGAAACAACCCTGAAGTTCAGACAGATAACCAGCCTCACAGGGGAAATTGAAGGATTTTTTCCCAGTGGGGTGGAGACAAACAGGAAGGAGAGGTAAGGTGTCCGACAAGGAATCCCCCCCCTCCTTCCCCTCCCTCTTATCTCGATCCAAATGTTGGTCAGGAGCAAAGACGAACTTTGACCTTGACCGCACCACAGAAACAGGGACCATTATGTGGCTCCCTGTGAGTCACACAGTTCTCAAGCTTATACAGTAAAATTAAATTCACATGAAAGTCCCTGGAGTTCAGCTCGCTGGTGAGAAAGTGAGCTTCATCAACAAAGAGCTGAGTGTACTTTGGAGCAGACGGTGATAGAGTAACGCTCCATGTCTTTTCATGAGTCATCTTTTGCATATGAGCATTTAAATATGCTTACTAATTAGCATGGGTTATTTGACTTGCTGTACTTGTGCAACTGAGCAGTAGAAGTGAGCTGATGGTGACACTGATTGTGCTATGACTGTTTGATTCCTGAATTGTGTAGGCCTCTCCGCATCGAATACAATCTCTTTAATGAAGCAATGAAATCAAATTGTTTAGGAGAAAACTACAAATGATACACAACAATTTAATATCATAGTTTATTTTTTTTCATCTTTTTCATATATTTTCATGTAAAAAAAAAAGTGTCAGTAACTGACATCAGTCAGAAGTTTGAAAAAAAAAAACCTCCACTTCCTCTCAAACCACTTTCAAATGTACCATTCCTTTATCATCATCATCATCATCATCCTCATCTGGCTATCACTCATTCATCTGTCTGATTCTCGCAATCCAACCTCAGAAGAATGCAGTTCTTAACTGGTTTTAGTAAACAAAAAACAAAAACGGCAGAGGTTTCACACCTCTGTTCAAAAAAAAAAAAAAGCTGCTTTTGCACTGGTTAGACTTCCCCAGCAGGGAAATAAGCACAGCTACAACCGTTTGCGTTCGATGTGTATCGACCGCAGTCGGCCCTGTGTGGGCCAGCCGGGTCCCCGAGCAATGGGAACGCGGCCGCCCGGAAAAGAGTCTCTGCTCACCAAAGAGCACTTCTTATATGTTTTCTAGAGAAAAACAGAAGAGGTATTCATTTACTGGTAAAATTCACAATCCAAAGCTTTGAAAGTTGTTAGGGTGACCAGGCAGCTGGGATAAGCGGAAGACAGATAAGGTGTGGTTAGGGCAACCGGAAGCAAATCCCTCCTGGAAAACCTGGTTTACTAACTTTCTTTTTGATTAGCTTTTTCTTTTTCTCCCCCCCACCCCCACATTACCAGAAAAATAAAGACATCATCACCATCATCAACAACAAATGATAAACAGTTATCTCACAATAACAGAGCTACAGCAGAAGCAAGAAGTCTCTCCTTCAAAGTGCCTCGCTTTTTTTTTTTTTTTGACACATGAAACTTAAAGACGAAATTTTTTTTTTCCTCCGTCATTTCTGTTAAACACACACAAACATCCACACCTCAGTCATCATGAATACAGAACTCATCCACACGTGTACAGTCAAACTCAAAACGGGCTCAGACAGTGTTCTTTGAGTTTCTTTCCACGGTTTTCACACACTCCTTGGATTAGCTTACATTGACATCTGAGATTTGGGGTAGGGGTAAAGGACAAGGGGGGGAGGGGGGTAATGCAGTGGATTTCTAATGGATAGGGGCTTAGGGGGTATAATTGGGTTGGGGGGTGGGGTTAGGGTGAATTGGGGATCAATATGACCCCACTGAATACAACATGGGAGCAGCAGTATCAGCACGTATGCACACTGTGCTGGATAGTTCAGGCACACGTAAAAAAAAAAAAAAAAAAAAAAAAAAACCGCCCAAAGTTAATGCTTCCATCTCCAGTTACTACTAACAGCAACCACATCGACAACAACATCCACTTCCCTTAATACAAAAAGAAATAAAAAGATATTAATAAACAAATATAACAGTGACTACAGAATCCAAAGTGCAGACTGTTTCTGGCTGCACAGCTTTTCTGGGGATTTTTCGGTGGGTCTTCACTCTACCAGGAGACAGAGGAGATTGGCAACAGACACTGTTGCATGCTGGAATACTGAAACGTCGTCCTGGATGCCTCCGGTGTCAGTGCTCAAGGCACAAACTCCCCCAGCAGAGCAGGAGTTTGCTCCAGGCTGCCCTCTCTCGGACAGTTTTGGCACTGCAGGCAACACGAACAGAGTTTGTGTATCCACTTGTAGTTTGAGATGACTTTCTTCAACAGTTCTTTCCTTTCTTTTTTCTTTTTTTCTTTTTTTTCTTGCTTTCATTTGTTCTGATCCTCTTCACATCCATCCAACAAGCACTGTCACAACCCAGGGCTTCTCACATCTCTTCCACATTTTTGTTGAATCCCAAACCCTCCCTCCCGCCCACTTTGATTTTCTTTTCTTTTTTTTCTTGAAGTGTCCCATAATGAGCAACAACAATGACAGTAAAAAGACAACGATAAAAACGCCAAAAGCACTTCATGTCATGTAGCGGGTGATCGCTCTCAGAGCGTATAACAGTTCTGCCTGCATTCGCGCTTCCATAAGAAGCAGATTAACGTGGACCTGCAGGAGAAAAGAGAGACAAGAGACACTTATTAAACACTGTACATTGATTCAAATAGCTGTAATGGAACAGGCCAGGAGAGGAGATCAGGATCTTACCTTCTCGGAGTGCTGAAACTGTCTCCAGAAACTCTCATACATTCGTTTGGTGGTCTTCTCCGGGCTACACACCATGGTCTTAATATAGATCTTAAAGCTACGGTCCAGAAGCTCGTTTATCTCCCCGTAATCGTAGTCATCATACCTGAAGGAAGACAGAGACACAGTGTTAGGACACAGGCCCCAGTTCTGACCGAGCATAATGACACACATAAAAAGGTGAGATCATACAGGAAGGCGTTCCCAGCGGCTCACCTGATGCCGAACATGCAGTGGATGTAGTTCCAGATGGCCCTGCGCAGCATACTGGTGTCCACATCCTTGTGTGTTGCCATGGTGTTGTAAGTCAGATTGTAGGCCATCTGGAACTTCTCGTCCAGCATCTGACCAACATCAGGGTACAGTCTGTTGACCAGAGAGAAACCGTGATCCTCCCAGCTGTAGTCCTACAGAAAAAGAGGAAATAAGAAGTAAATAACATATAGACCATCTTTTTAGCATCCTGTACTCTATATTCAGACTGTATTTGAGCTTTACCTGCACTCTGAATGTGGGCACATGCTCCCCCCTCCTGGAGAAGTCCTTGTAGCCGTAGCTCGGGTCCTCAAAGTGTCGGGAGATGTCTCTGGAGGGGACGCACTCCTCGTCCTCTGTGGTGACCACCAGCATGCTCTCCGTCTTCTCCCTCTCAAAGCGAGTCGCCATCTCCTCCTGGCTAGCCTCCTCGTCATCGCGGCACTCCTGCAGCTGCTTCATGCGCTCCATCAGCACCTCCACCTCGCCACACATCTCCTATGGAAACAAAGAGCACACATACAGTTAGGAAGAACCAATCTCTGTTTTGTTTCTTAGCACCAACACACAGGATAAAGTGCAGGGAATGTATATCTGCTGCCTGGATTTTAGCTCACTGTGCGCACACACACACACACACACACACACACGGTCCTTTACCACTCACCTGGTTGCCGAGTGGATCATCATGGTGATAAGCATGACCGTTGCCATTGGCAATGTCACAGACGCAGTACTGGCTGAGAGAGGGGGGTCTGAAAGTGTGTCCGCCGTCACAGTGGATCTCAGGTGTGATGCCGCAGCCGAAGGTGAACGAGGCGAGGGAGTGGTAGTGTGTGAGGAGGACCACGGCGTGGATGAGCTCTGCGAGGGACCAGCTGTGTTCCTCTGCCTTCAGAAGACGCTGGAAAAAACAAAAAGGGGGGAAAAAACGTGTGAGTCCTTGTAGCTGGAGCCAAATAATGACCTCAATATCACTGACCTTTTAGGAAGTGGGAAAAATATGTTTTCAGCCTTCCTAACCAATTTATTGTCTTTTTCCAGCCTCACCCACCTCCCTCTATCCGTCCCCCACTTTCTGTCACCATATTTCTACTGCTATAACTCCCAAATCCATCCTGCTACACTCCAGCCTCCACCCAGAATCTCAGCCAGTTACATAACACTCCTCATGTCCACATCCACCCTCCAGATCGTGCCCGTCCTCTCACCTCGATGTGTTCCTTGGTGAGAAGCCAAGGTCGGTGGGCCAGGATTTTGTTGAGCTCTCCGAGCTGCTGCAGCTTCTGTGGGGCTTCGTCCAGGCCGTTCAACCACTTGGGATTGCCCCCGACCTGGAGGAAGTAGTTCACGTGCAGGTTGACTAAGTAGGAACACTGGTGTCTAGCTGCAGCCTGCAGGACAGGAGGAGAAGGAGGTATTAACCACAAGTCATGTTAAGTGCTCGACGTATTAACGGTCAAATGAGACGTGCTTTTTAAGAATTCAGATGATGAACATGAACGTACCATGATGCCGATGTAGTGTCGGTAGTGCAAAGACAGGGGTCCATCCATTTGCAGCAGGTAGTGCTGCGTCCGGAGGAAGCTCTCCAGGTACTGTGGGTGGAAGCTCATCACCAAAGAAATGTTGTCGAGGCGACCGAGGGCTGCAAACGCATCCTCAAATATCGACTGTGTCCGGGGGTCCACTTTACTGACTTTGAGAATCTTAACAAAAAAAGGAGGTTTATTACATAAATGTAATGTTTGTAACCAAGTTAAAAGTCTCTGGAGAGATTATGGACCGTCTCATACCTCTTTTTCAGGGATAAATCTGCTTGGTCCGTTGACTAAGGGTCTTGGGATCCTTACTCCCAAGTCCTGCAAGACAAAGAAAAAGAGAAAAACATGTAGTTTAGATATCACAGGAAAGCAGAGGAGAAGCTCAACTGTCACTTTATTGCTTCACCAGCATGAGAAATCTGAGTCTGACACCAGTAAACCTGTCGGATCCTTATTAATCTACAGAGAAAATGACAATAAAACCAAATTTTAAGGTTTTCTCCATTGTACAAGCAACATGCAACTCTCTCTCTCTCTCTCTGTGTGTGCAGTGTCACAAGAAACTGACACATAAAACCAAAACGAAACTTGACACTAAATTAATGAGCAACTTTCGCCCTCATACAACATAAAAATAAAACAATAGAAACCTTCACATCGCCTCTATCACGTCCTGTAACTTTCCGCTGCTTGTCGAGACATGTCTACTAGCGGACACCGTCCCGCAGCGCACAATGAAGCAGGATGAATGAATGACCCACGAAACGCGTAGAATTCAGAAATGACACCGGGTTAAAAACAAACCTCTGAACGTGTCTTGCTTCCATTAAAGGGAAACTGACTAAAATAAAATAAACCCAGAGACTATTTTCTTGCCCCAGTGAGCAAAAAAAAAAAAACTCTGCTCACTCGTAAACAAGCCCTGCACAAAAGACTGCACTGCAGCTTGTTTTTTCAAAGCAAAACATAATAAGAAGAATAAAAAGGTCACATAAAAACATAAAAACCGAGACAGTTCTTTAAATCCCGACGTCAGGTTGATATTTAACAAAAAGGTGCATTATGAAAGAGTGTTATTTTCCCCTGAAGCCCCCTTCTCTCTCTCTCTCTCTCTCTCTCTCTCTCTCTCTTACCTTTTTGCTTAGCCGTTCACAATGGGTACATATCTTTAACAGCCTTGTCACTGCAAAACAATTATTTTCCACGTTTTCTGCCGGTGCGACTGCGTGCCTCATCTCGTGTCCTCGCTGCACTTTGATTATTTTACTGGTATAAAAAAAATAAAATGTTCTTTCAAAAAGATGTTTTTCTAATTTCTGAATGGCTGTTTTCCTCCTCTCTTTGTTCCTTGAGGCACTGGGTAAAGTGCTCGGCAGTCAGCTGTTGCAGCCCCACAGCAGAATACCGTCCTCTCTCGCTCATACATTCGGTAAATAAGTCGAGGCTCGTGTGATTGACACGCTCGGCGGCCAATAGGACGACGAAAACAGCCTCTCTGCAGCCAATGGGGAGCGAGAGGAGAACGGAGGGGAGGCGGGGGGGGGGAGGCGGAGCTAAGCGTGAGGAGAGGAGGGGAGGGAGGGGAGAGGGAGGGGGGGTCCTAAACGTGAGCAGAGAGAACAATCTCCCTCCCCACCTCCACCACCCCTCTCTAAGAAAACATCATCACTTCTCTTTTCTTCTTTTGTTCCCTGCTGCCATTGATCAGGATTGCATTTACAGTTGTGCATTACGCTCTGTATGCTAAACAACGGCAGCAATCAATTCAAGGTGATTGCTGCTCAGATGAATACTTCAAATCCATTATCACGGCGTGGAGAAAAAACACCACTAAAAATAGTTTTCTGTAATCTAAAATCCAAATCTAGCTGGGGCAAAAAAAATAAAATTAAAAAAGAAGGCATCTGTGTGTTCATCTGTGTAATGTGCATTCAACGAAAACAACAACAACCCAAGGCCAGCTCCAGCATGCAGCAGCAAGTTCTCCCCCCCCCCCCTATTGGCTTTTTGCAGCACTGGAGGGGACGGGGGTAAACTGAGCCCTCAGCTGTCCTTAGTGAGCTGCAGAAGAAGGTGGAGGGCCGCTGTGCAGAGATCAGCATCAGCGCGCGGTGAGATGGATAGCTGCGGGACCTGCTGCAACAACAACAGCGCTTCAGTTAGTGGTTTTTTTGCGCCACAGCCCATCAGACCGCAGATAATGCCATTCCTCCACCAATCAGCCCGGGCTGAAGGAGTCCTTTAAAAGGCAGAAGGAAGCAGAGATAAGGAAGGCCACTCTTATGGCTTTGTTTATCCCAGCTTGACAATAACACTGTTCAGTTGAACAGTGTATAACTGGTTTATCGCACCGGGGTGGTATGAAAGTCAATAATTACTCAGAATTATATCACGAGAAGTACTGAAAACAACTCTGTGTTCTGCAAGTTCTATATCACAGTACAATATCCACCTTATTTCACCCAAACAAGTCTGTCGTTGTGGAAATGATCAGTACCAGAAGTATATTTGTCTTTGAAATGTATGTTAAACAACAGATAAACAGTTGTATTTTCATGTAAAGGCACACGTGAGTCAACTGTTGTTTGTGTTGTTTCCTCTGTGAATTGCCAGCAACAACGTTACAAAAGCATCCACATATCGGCCAGTGTGTCCACAGACCCACACACACGTGTGCACATCTGTGCGTCATGTTTCTGTGCGAGACTTAAAAATAACGTTTCCCAAGCAAAACAGAAAAGACTTTTCTGTTCTGAGATTTCACAAAGACTCATTTTATGGGAAGAAAACTGCACAATTGTTTCGACTGTTTGAAAAAACATTTTTTTTGTGAGATACTACCTCATTTCAGTTCATCGTTACTGCGGCTCCTCTGGCTATGAAAGTGTTTTGGGTGACTTGTGAAAGGGACACCAAATAAAAAGCAGACAAGCAAGTTAAAGTTGGTAGCGATGAGATGTTGTTACGAGTATAGTGTGAGTTACAAGTGTAAGTCAAGAAAAGGCAAGTCTGCCCCTGTGCACTCCAATCAAGAGCCTGCCCGGCCAGTTTGGCAACCGACTGCAAGTCTCCAGCACTGATAGCACAGTATTCAGCAGGTTCATTGTGTGGATCGGGCCAACTAACCCCCCTCACCTCCCCTCCCTGGTCCCTCTCCTGATGCCACAGGGTGGGGTGCGGGGCAGCGGTAAACATGTTCCCAGGGCTGGAGTCAGCACTCCCAGGGCTGCTGGGAGCCCCATGGCTCAGCAAAGCTGCAGAAGAGGCTGGTCAGCGTTAGGGCTTACGACACACCAAACCTTTTCACATAAAAGCGCTTAGGCTCGGGGGTCCGGCTTGCGGACGGGGCCAAACACTATTGTCAGAGTGCACGCACTGACTACTCGGTGAGGCTTTACTGTACTCACATCAGGAGTATCTGAGCGAGTGCAGTGATCCAACCATATGTGCTCCGTCTTAGATCTTAGATTACGTCTCCACTTCCACACCTTTGGTGCTAATGTTTGTAAGCTGGAACTCAGAGCTGAATTATGCAAAAGCAAAAACCAGAGGTCGTAAACAAGTTACATGGAATCATAGGGAGCTTCTGTCATCAACACACATGAAATTATATATGCTCCGAGAAGCTTCAGAAAGCTCTAGAAAAGTTAGTAAGTGGACACTGAGTTAAGGATTGTATAAATCCATTTCCACCTGAACGTGTCTGCACATTGGGACTTCACTTTATGTCTCTCGTGTTCTCACAGTTCAAGAAAACACGACAGAATATTTGACTCCAGACTTCAATATACAAAACCTGGCTCGTATTACAACCTACGTATTCTGGGGTGTCTTCTGAAGCTGGTTCAGAACAGAGTGTGACATATAAACAACCACACAGCAGGTGTGTCTCGGGGGAGTCTGCAGACCTACATCTTTAGGTGTCTCAGCTCTTTGATGTCAACTACAGTGAGTCTGAATGCTGTTGTTCCTAAATGACTAATCGCTGACAAACTAAACAAGGAAACTACCTGAAGATGAAGTGAAACACGGTGAACATCGTTGTTATGATCATGCTTCAATGAATGAGTATGTAGACACTTGGCTACAAGATGACACTGCCGCAGAGAGGCTCATTAGCTGTTCCAGGGAATAAACCAGTGACCTTTTAGCTTCGTGAGCGCCACTAAGCCACCGTGTAACCCTGTGGAGATGTATATATGCATGTGTATTTGATGGTGGTTTTGAGTACAGGGGTTAGGACAACATTGGGAAGATTAGTTATGATGGGGGAAAGGCTCCTGGAAACAACAGGAATCATCTTGGATTTGTTTCAACAGTGTGTGTATCATCAGATAGTGATCTGCTGGAGGAAAGGCCTGAACAATGGACACATTTCCACTAGTCTTGCACTAATGATAATAAAAATATTCCCATTAAGAATAATAGTCAGTTTTTTTACAGAAACGCTTTCATGGCCACTATAAGAAGCTGTTTTCTGCTCATTAATGGTTACTTAAACATCGTTTTTCAACTGAAGCTTCTTTAAAGTGTAAATATGCAACTTTTGAAAGAAGAAATAACACAATATTCCTTTATACAAATTAAAAGTTCAATAAATAGGAAACAAAACCTCACTAGCTCGATTCAACACACTTTGGGTCTTTGGTGCTGTAGCCACATGGTCCGATATGACCAGTAACTTCTATGGACATTTTTTTTCCATGGGGAAAACTTATTGGAATTTTGGAATCCATTTTGTCCGCTGACCTCTGGCTCTGTGCTCCAGGAATGAGCAAACTACAAACTTTTCAAAGCCTTGAAAATCTACAAAGTGTAAGCATTTCATACTCAAAACATAGTATCGCTCAACAAAGCGTGACGTATATTCCACAAAGTGAACCCATGGTACGTGTAGCAAGTTCAATAAATGACGTTGCAACTGAGGAATTTAAGGCACCAGTAAACATATTGTACATGCAACAGTTTGCATGTTCTTAGAACATTTTATAACCAAGTTATGAGGATAGATATTATATTACTGAGAGACAAAGTGGATACTAAATCTGGAACAATTAGTAGTTTTAAAGTTAAAGTAGCTGTTTCATTAAGATCTGTCTATTGTCAAGAATTCAAGTAGTTTCCTAAACTTTTTATAAGTAAAAAAATATGGCAGGTACCTTCTCAACTGCTCACTAAAGCAGTTGTTTTTCCTTTACGAGTGTGGAGCAGAATTAACAACAGCCTTAAGCCAATAAAGAGGATGATAAAAGTTAATAAGATTAAAAAACAGAGAGAGGAAGCCATGCCAGGCGTAAACTCTGCACATATGTGTCTCA